TGGAGAAGGCACATCTCCGTTACTGCTGTGAATGTGGGGGCCAAATTATTCAAGATTTCAATTTCCCTCTTTGTTTCATTGCCAGATGTGAGCAGCAGGGAGAGGAGCATTGGGAATTTCTTTCTGATTCCTGGTTTGATAGGGTTACACCCCAAGAGCTGATTACAACAAATCGCAACTGCAGAAAAAGTAGCTTTAGCTTAGGTTCCATTTACTATTAAAATTGCCCTCTCTACCCCAAGTTGAATTTCTCAGAAGTGAAATAAAAGTATGAACCTGCTATTCGTGCTCACTTCGGCAGCACATATACTAAAATTGGAACGATACAGAGAAGATTAGCATGGCCCCTGCACAAGGATGATACACAAATTCATGAAGCGTTCCATAAAAAAAGAAAAAAAGAACCTGCTATTCCTTCTTTAAAATGGAAAGTTATTGAGGATAAGTAATTATATCCTCTCATTTTTTGTTAGAGATCTTTACATAGGTAATGCTGGGAGGTGTGAGAGACACATTTACATGCACTCTTTGTGCGTACATACATGTGTATGCACCATGGGTTAGTTATCATTATACACCATTTTAATATTAGGTAATTCTTGTATTAAAACTGTTCTGGGGGTGGGCAGGATGTCCACATTAATTTGAACATGGCTAACTCAGAATTTGAGATGCTTTTCTGGGACTGAGATTAGGGATGGAACAGTGCATGGGTTGACAGCTTGAGCTTGACATCAGTTTGTTCCATCAGTTGCTCTCTTTCATGACCTTGGGCAAGAAACTTAATCCTCCTAACCTTACTTTATTTACTTATGAAGTTGGGATATAAAGCACCTGTCTTGTAGGTAGATTGTTTTTAGGTTAAAAGCTAAGTCTACAAAGTGGATAGTAGCACAGTGCCTGGGCCATGGAATGACAAAGATCATGATGTTGATGTGTAGCTTTAAGCTTTGTGAAGGCAGACATCACACCAGTTTTATTCATTGGTGTATACTGAGCACTTAGCATATTGCCTAGCCCACATAAGATCCACAGTAAATATTTATTGAATATTGAATGAAGTAACATTTCAGTGGAAGGAATTCACTGGGTAAAATTTTTTAAAAACATTAGTAATAGTTTGATACAATGTTTGCATTAGCTACAGATTAACTTTCTGTTTATTAAACAAGCCAAAGAGATCTGCTTCTTTAGTTTTTGTTTAAGCTTGCAATGTGTAATATTTTCTATACTTAAATAATAAAACTCTATTCTTAAAACACTTTAAAACTCAGTTTCTTATTTTCTTCAGGAAGTTTACATAAGGGTAGCCAAAGTCATAACATTGATTAGGTATTGCTATAGTGTTTTGAGCTTTCTATAATACTTTTATTTATTTTTTTATATTTTATTTATTTTTTACAGAGAGGAACGAGAGAGATAGAGAGTTAGAAACATCGATGAGAGAGAAACATTGATCAGCTGCCTCCTGCACATCTCCCACTGGGGATGTGCCCGCAACCCAGGTACATGCCCTTGACCGGAATCGAACCTGGGACCCCCCAGTCCGCAAGCCGACGCTCTATCCACTGAGCCAAACCGGTTTCGGCTCTATAATACTTTTAGCAAAGATAAATGAGGGCTCAGTACATATGTAAACATCCCAGAGAAGGCCAGCTTATAGGAAAAATGCCTTACGTATGATGATTCATTTCTCTGCAAAGCAACGGTTGTCTGTCTTGTTTTTCATAGTCCCTCAAGTCAGGCCTGCAGAATTAGTATTTCTTTTTATAGTGCTTTCTTTTCGTTCCCCACAAGGTCAGTACCACCCAGCTGCAGCTTTGTTACTTGAGTGTAACGTTGGACAAGGAAGTGAAAACTGTGAGGTTTGTTATCAAGTGTTTTCAATTTTCTGGAGTGAGGAATGAAGTGTTACTTTAAGAGATAATGGGATGTAGAGCTGAGAGGATTCTTTAAGAGGAGTTGCTCCTTTCTGTTGGTTTAGTTTTCACCTGTCAGGAGTGAGTGCGTAGCGTGGCAGCCCTCTCCTACAGTGATTTCTCAGCCAAGAAAAGGTGTGTGTTACTGATTTGGTGCTAGAGCAGTGGTTCTCAACCTTGAATGCACATTAGAATCACCTGGGAATCTTTTAAAAATCCTGATGTCTGGGCCTCATCCTCCGGAAATTCTGTTTCTTTGTTACTAATGTTGTGGCCCCACCCCATAACAAAGAAACAGAATTTCCGGAGGACGAGGCCCAGAAATCAGCATTTTAAAAAGATTCCCAGGTGATTCTAATGTGCAGCCAAGGTTGAGAACCACTGTGCTAGAGGATTCTCAGGGAGGGCCACAACTTTTTTTCTTCTTTGTTTAAAATAAAGGTCATGGTTGCTTAGTTGTTTCCATAAGCATTGTAATTAATAAACTACAATGGGGTGTTGGGCTTACTCAATGCTATGTTTGGAGTAAGCCACCAATAATAAATACACTAAGTCCTCCTCACTTAACATTGTTGAAAGGTTCTGTGAGTTTGAGGGGAATGACATATAACAAAACCAGTTTTACCACAGGCTGATTGATATAAACAAGTGTTAAGTTCCTAAGACTTCTCATCAGTGTTATAATGAAATGAAGATGAACAAAAAGAGGACCTGCTGTATGTGTTCCTGTACTGTCTTTTTCACATGTAAGTTTGATGTTATTTGTATTTAATCCTGTAATAGGCAAGAGTAGGATGAAATCTCTTAGTCAGATGAGGTGATACTGGATCTTGGCTGCTAACTCGTCCCCCAATTCTGGAGCAGTCATGTTGAGAGTTATTTTGAATCACCACAACCATTTTGCATGATATGAATGTCAGGTTATAAATGGCGGGGTGGTATTCACATACGTGAAAATCAAAATGAGGCTTTGGGAATAAATAATCTCAGAGCACCTATTGACCCCATTTATTCAGCTTCTCATCGATCTGTTTTCACTCATGACTGACAGTCATTATAGACCACATGGGATTTAAAGTTTTAATGGTTCATGGTTACTGTGAAGTTGGTAATTCATTTTGTTCTAATTTATATGGATTTTAGGACTCTTAAGAAATAACTGGAAAAGTTTTACTTAATTATATTTATTGTCATAAAATATTTATCTTAAATGTTATTTACTAAGCCTGTTCTCTATACGTGAAATTTTTTCAATGCGAAAGACTCTAGGTATTCTAACTGTTTAAAAAGGAGCTTAGGAAAGTTTGAGACAATTTGATATTTGCAGAGATCTGCTGTGCAAGAATATTTGTAAAGCCTTGTCATTCAAACTCAATTCCATACAACTGGAAATTTGTAATTTGGATGTGGATGTTTGTGTTAAAAACCAGCTCAAAATAGTCTAAAAGGCTTATTAGAACTGAAATAAAATGAGGGAAATGGAGATACTGTGTCAATGTTTTCTGACTCCTAAATAAGAACAATGATATGCTTTGAAATGATGCCTTTTTTAATGCTTAAAATATTTTAATCATTACCTGAATTTTTGCATATTTAAAATATTGCCAAGGTGCTTAGAAATTATTTACTAGGTGTCTTTGTTTAAAGCCCTTGATTTGAATGTATAAGGATTTGAGTGGTCTGATTAATTGAATTTTTAGTGAAGAGATTAACCACAAATTTATTTCTATTTGATGCTTATGGTAAAAAATATTGAGTATACTTTACATTCTTGTGCACAGTTGAATCTTTGATTTGGAATCTGTACTGTTGGTATGGGGAGGGGGGAGCTGTGTGGTGGAGAAGGTTATGACTACTAACACTTGATTTAATCACATATTGTAACCAAGACGGTGGGAGTCAGAGACTGACCACACACCAAGCGTGGGGCCCAGGATGTGCTGTAGAAGGTGATCTGTAGAGAGGGAAAAGAAGACCACCATGATAAAGACATTCCCAATATTAGCTTACTTTCTTGGGGTTTGTCTTTTTTGTTTGTTAGACATAGGCATTAAATCTTGAATTATAGGAAGTTGTTAGAGAATGATTCTTTGCTTCTCAAAAGGAGTTAATGTGACAGGACTCCCTAAAAAGATTTAATATTAAAAAGTTTGCTTATCTGTAATTTTTAAACAACTTTAAGAACAGAAATCTTATATAAACATTTGCGTTTTATGATGTTTTTAGTTCATTTAAAACCTCATGAAATTGAATTGTTAGTGGTTGTTTTTTTTTGGAAATGTTATTGCTCTCTAGAATGTTTGAAAGGGATCATATTCAAACTCTTAGATACCTTTTTTTGATACTTAAAAGAATTATGCTGGCTTTCAGAAGTTGCTCTCTAATCATATGCTAGTTTTAAATTTTCTAGTTTCTTAAAAATACCAAACTGGTTTTGCCCTTAAAAGAAATAATATCTTTCTTGAACTTTATGTTCTATGCCTGTTCATTGTACTTACCTTGTGGGCATTGGAGAAAATAGAAACTTATTTGAATGGTGTCTTTTTTCTTCTGGTGTTAAGCCTTTGTCTTTCACCTTGCCTTTAGTTTTCCCAAATTAAACGAGGACTTTCAGAAAATGGTAGGATCTTTCTTTGAAACCCCTAATGCCTTGAACATTTCCTTATTAAGTACATGCCTTACGACTCTAGCATCTCTCATTAGAAACGCTTCTGAAAGCTCGCTTCGTCCACTTGGGGTTCATTTTTATTATAAGCAAAGCATGCCACTGTCACTGTGCTTGGGCACTGTGTCATCTTACCTTGGTTATTTTGAGGGGCACACACCATACTGCTTTGTGACAGGATCCAGGTTAAAGTGTAAAGCTGGAGGGTCATGTGTCTGTTCACGCTGAGCGAATGAAGGAAACGGTTTTGATTCATGCAGAAAGGTTAACTTTAGTGGTCGAACAAATTCTCTGAGATTTCAGACGCCATCTGCTAAAGGATTTGTGCAGATGCTTGCTTGTGTGCTGGGTGCCCCTAGTAACCAGGGCATGAGGGGACATTGGGCATGTTAACTTAAAACTTTTTTCTTTTTTAGGTCCACAACTCCCAGGCCTGTTGCAGATCTCCAACTCCTGCTTTGTGTGACCCCCCAGCATGCTCTCTGCCGGTGGCGTCACAGCCACCACAGCATCTTTCTGAAGCCGGGAGAGGGCCTGTAGGGGTAAGGAGAATCCCGTTTTTAAAAGCTGTCAATATTTTATATCCCATAGGGTATAAAATAGGAATATTACCTCCCTCCCCAGAGCCCCTTTAAAAATGTGCTGTATTGTATGTGTTTTTAAAGGAGTAACAAGTACATGCACAGAGGAAGCAAAATACGGGACTTACCTTACCCCTCTAGGACAGTTCCAGAAGTTAGCGGGGTTTGTGGTGTAGGGTATTTTGGCACCAGCAGAGAGCATGCTGGGCTGCTGCAAGGAGCAGGAGCTGGCAATCAGCAGCGAGTATGGATGTTGGCAACTGAAATGGGGGAAACAGGGGGTAAGTTTGAGACCAAGTGGAATGTGCATCTCCCCAGGACCATTGGGACTCGTGGCCCACAAATCTAAACTGTTTTGGGTGCTGTCCTCCCAGGTAAAGTTTTGTGGAGTATTGCTCAGAAGTAGCTAGGCTTCTCTGCAGGGCAGATACAGACTAAAACACTGAAAGGCATGGGTTGGGGTGTAGGTAATAGTACTCTCAGCGGTACTCTGCTAATTCCTCTGTTACCTGGTGGTAATGTGGGATGTGTGTGAGATGTAGCAGGATGAAATGTCCCTAGTTAGTTATCCCTTAGAACACAGGACCCGGTGTGCGATCTCGGAGGGCTAGTTCTGTCTTCTGTCTTACCTTTTCTGAAAGCTGTGTACATACCTTTCCTTTTTTCCCCTTTATTTGTGAGGATTGAATGGTAAAGCTTTCTGAAAGATAGGTGTTATTGTTCTGATCAACTGCTGTGAATCACTGAAGAAATAAATGTAAGACCTGTCTTTCTCTTGCATGTAATCTGACCAAACCCATACTCAGAAAATGACACAAGAAAATAGTCATTCCAGATGCACACGCGCTATACAAGATACTGGGAATGTGTAATGAATTGTTCCGTGGCAGCGTAGAACATTCATACCTTGAGACTAAGAGAAGAGAATGCTCCAAACGGGCAGTAGAACTGGGAAAGCTTTGTGATGAGAGGTCGGTTTTGAGGAGCTGGTTATGTTTTTGATACATCAGTAACCTGTGGCCAGGCAGAGTGGAGGAGCCTTCCAGGTGTACATGTCAGCTTGTCCCTATAAGCAACATAGACAATGAGCCTGGTGAAGCTGGGAGTTGTGAGAAGACCACAGGACGTCAATAAAGAGCACAGGTTAGTGGGACTTGGGAGGCAGAGGTGGGGATATAAAATGGGGCTGGATCATAAAGGATCTTAAAGGTTAGAAAAGGTGAAATTTTATGTGATAGTCGGAAGAGAGCCTTTGCAGCCTTTTTTATTTCCTGTAAGCCGATTTGCAAATCACTGCTTAAGAAGATTCATTGGGAAGCAGAATGCTGTGTGCAGTGGGGAAAGACTGAAAGTTCCAATTAGGAGGCTAGGGCTGTCATCCATGCATAAAATGAAGAGGACCAAGACAATAGAGATGGGATATTAATAATTGTAACAAAATCAGGAATAATTGTCACAACAACAATTTCATGTTTGGGTAATTGCCAGTGTAATTTATCAAGAATTAGACCAGAAAAAAGGTTCACATTATGGAAGCCTTGGAATTATTGATATAATAGCCATTCACAATGTAAGATAAAACCCAGTGTAGTGGATAAAAGTCTAATTTTAATCCCTGAAGAGAGAGATTGACATTTTAAGGGACAAATTAGCAGAGTCCTGACTTGACTACCTATTTCAAAAGCTTCAGCCTTTACCACTTACCATCTTATTTCCATATGTGTCTAAGAAATGGCTGTTCTCTTTCAGGCTGATTGTTTCTCTGTTCTCTAATCAGTGTGGATGTCACTGTTAGACTGTTTCGTTTCCACAATACTCACCAACCAGGATTTGCTAAATAGATTGAAATTTTTTCCAATAACAGTAAACTTGTTCTGTGAGCATCAGTGATGGCCACTGTTTAATTTTTAGCAGTGAAAGTGTTGTGGTCACTGAGGATTTAAATAAGTTTATGATTGGTGGTGGACTCAGATACCATCATATGAAGGCTTGAGAAGATTCTGTAATAAGATGATAAATCTTTTAGTCAAGATGCTGCTGCTAAAGCTAACTGTATTGATTGTTCTGTAACAATGCTTCATGCTGCCAAAGTCATTTGAGCTGGATCTGAATCGGATCCAGTTGGCAAAGCCCCCTCCCGCGTTGAGGGGCTCTCATAAATTCTGCAGGCACACAGATCTAATACAGTGTAATGAGAGAGCTGCTGGGGGAAAATTGATTACAGGGTTGCAGACAATATCATTAATGTTTCTTGCCATGATACACCAGATGTCTTCGCTAATAGACTATTTTTGTTAATTTAGTTTTTATACCATGGCATTGCTTGCATCATAATTTAACTTGCTTTGCATATTCAGGTATATGTGATCTGTGTTTCTACACTAATAGATGTATCAACTCATAAGATTTAATTTTATAAATTTCTAACTTATTGACCATTTTTAAAGTATTTGTACTGGAAAGGCAATATTTTTACTTGTTATTGAGAATCCGTTAGCTTGGATGTTTTCTAGCAAAAAGTACTGTGTTTACTGGTAGTTCGGGGGTAGATGAGATGGCAAAGAAAACATTGCTCAGATCCTCAGTAGACGGGGCAGAGATGGTCCCAGTGCAAGGTGGTGTGAATGGCACGAGAAATTCTCCAAAGCAGAAATGGTTCAGCCATTTTATTTTATTTTTTTAATATATTTTATTGATTTTTTACAGAGAGGAAGGGAGAGGGATAGAGAGTTAGAAACATCGACGAGAGAGAAGCATCGATCAGCTGCCTCCTGCACACTCCCCACTGGGATGTGCCCGCAACCAAGGTACATGCCGTTGACTGGAATCGAACCTGGGACCCTTCAGTCCGCAGGCTGACGCTCTATCCACTGAGTCAAACCAGTCAGGGCTGGTGCAGCCATTTAAAGGGGATGCAGTTTCATTGGTACTGTCACGGGTGGGCTCTGCAGGCTGAGTTCTATTGGCTGCACCTGTCCTCTTCCTCACAGGAGAGCAGGGGCTGGTTAGGGGATTTAGTCATTGGGCTTTTTTATTTTTTTAGTCATATATTTTTGTGTGTTTCAGACCTCTGTCGAGTGGCTAACATATATAATATAAATAAGGTAATGGGTTGAGCTATTTTATTTCAGTCATTTTTTTTAGCTACTGGCTTTTGGTGCATTATCTTTTAGAGAACTTATTTTTTTCTTTAGACATGCTCTTGTGTAACATAGGACATATTAATCAATCTCTCTAACCCTTAGTTTTCTCACTTAGAAAATGGGTATAATATTACTAGCTATTTGAAATAATTAAATACCATATAATAAGCATTCATTAAGCATTATCTTTTATCACATAGATAATTGTTATACAAATTCAGATTTAAAATTTTTTAAAAAATATATATTTTTATTGATTTCAGAGAGTAAGGGAGAGGGAGAGAGAGAGCTAGAAACATCAATGATGAGAGAGAATCATTGATCGGCTGCCTCCTGCACACCCCACACTTGGGGATGGAGCCCACAACCTAGGCATGTGCCCTGACCTGGAATGAACCATGACCCCTAGGTTCATAGGTTGCCACTCAACCACTGAGCCACTCTGGCCGGGCCAGATTCAGGTTTTAAATAATTTATTAGTTTTCTAGACATTCTTAATCTAGACACAGGCCCCTAGGTAGTCTCTTTGAGTTTAAGAGGTCCTATAAAATTCCTAAAATTGCTTGGCAAGTCTTATATGTATGAGCAATTTTTCTGCAGAGAGTATACTTTTCAACCATAGATGCTAATCACATTCCAAAAATGTTGAAAAAAACTAAATATTAAGATTAAAAGCTGGTAGGTCATTTAAAATCAGCTAGCTGTTTGTTAAGGAGGTAAACTAACATTGAGCATTACTTTGTGTCCAGGCACTTTGCTACTCTTTTGATCCATTTAATCTCCACAACAATCTGTGATATTTATTTAATTGTGCAGATGAGAAAACTTGAGGTTTGCATTTGTATAAAATCTTGCCCTGAGTGAGTGGCAGAACTCATGGACTTACCCCGGTTTTACATAATCTTCACTGGTCTCATGGCGCCTTCTCCCCGTGACCCTGCAGTGATGCCTACCTTTGCTTCCACTTTACTAGAAAGTTCCGGAGCTCACATGCTGCTCAACATTTGGTATAGAAGAGGACTTCTGCCACTGAGAGTTTACAGGCTGACCCTTACCTTGAACAAATGGACAGTGGTGCTAACAGTGTGGTGTGAGAACCCTTTTTTTTCAGTATCAATAAATTTTGTTTTCCTGTTGGCACTTGTGGTGGTCATATCTTTAGTGTCCTTTTGTTTAAAAAAAAAATGCTTGACCAACAGCTACTGTGAGTTCCCATTCATTCATCTTAATAGCATCTACAGTTGACCCTTGAACAACGCAGGAGTCAGGCCCCTCCTAAAGTAAAAAATCCATATAACTTTGACTCCCCTAAAACTTAAGTTGTCCTTCGGTATCTGTGGGGGGGATTGATTCCAGGACCCCTGTGGATACCAAAATCCGAGGATGCTCAAGCCCCTATACAAAATGGCATGGATCAGTGTATACTGTCAGCCCTCTACATCTGCTGACTCCCCACTGCAGATAGAAAACTACAATATTTATTGAAAAAATTCAAATCTAAGTGGACTCATGCAGTTCAAACCCATATTCTTCAAGGGTTAACTATGATACACATTTGAAAAATATTTCCTGTAGTCTGATTTGTTAGTCTGTGTGTTTGTTTCAGGTAAAACTTGGTACATGTAAGAAATTGGGTTTTGCATTTCCTTTGGAATAAACCCATTCCCCCATGTAGATAAACCCGCCCATTAACAGAGATGGGAAACTGGGGCCCAGTGACTTTCCCCAAACCCCCTGGTTCATATGGGGCTGCTTAGGACAGAAGCCAGGCCTCCTGGGTCCCTGGTTAGTGCTCTTTCTACTTCTCCTACTGAATTT